TCTCTCCCTAGCAAAGGTGCTTCTGGAGCAGAGAGGAAGAGTGAAGACAAAGATTAAGGCTTCCCCGGGATCATTTTATAACCTTGCCCATGCGGAGGGAAATACATTATTCTCCTGGGTGATGGTGCCTCCCAAAGTGGAGCTGATCACAGGATCAACAAACCAGTTTATGTCCTTTTTAGGCATGGAGTCCTGGAGTATCCAGGTGTGTCCTTCTCAGGCAAGGGGCCATTGTGCTCCTTAGGTATCAATTGGTAACCCTTAAGAGCTTTTGTCCAAGCAGTATTCACTGGGCCACCACCCTTCACAATAAGTGGTCAATGCCCACTATTGTCTCCCAGACAGAAAACATTAAAAATGTAAGTACAGAGGCCATATTCATACCTTTATGTACAGAAATCATACAAGTATGTGAGTAACATAGACAGAACTAGCACAGCATACACTTTGATTAGAAACCTCACATAGCCCACTTGGCACAGAACAAGTGGGGGCATCAATTGTCTGCCTGCTCACATTAATACACAATAACATAACAGACCTGATAAAGCTTCAAATATATTAAGGGCTGCTATAAAGACTATGATCAAATTGTTCTCTATGTCTGCTGTAGGTAGGACAAGAAGTAACAGGCTTAAGGAAAGGAGCATGGGAGATTTAGGCTAGATATTAAGAAAAAACTTTCGAACTATAGGGTAGTTAAGCTCTAGAATAGGCTTCCAGGGGTATTATGGAGTCTCTATTACTGGAGGTTTTCACCTGTCAGTTATGATATAGGCTTATTATTTCTGCCTCATCCAGGGCCCTGGACTAGATGAGCTCTTTCAGAGCTCTCTATATTTCTACGCTGATATCAGAAGGAATGGAATTTGCATTGTCATTCTGAAATCTAATACATATCTATACTGCCTGTCAGCCATTAGAAATTGACGAAGAGGCAGTTGGAAGAAGAAAGAGGTTACAAATTAAAAACTTAAAGGAACTGAAAGTAAAAAAGTGCCTAACCATTAAAAAAAATTCAGTCTAGGTGTAAAAATATACTTAATCCGACAACTAGACAACATAGTCCTGGGGGGAAAAAAATGACTGAATCCCCAGAAATGCTATAGGTAACAACCAATACATTTTCTGCCTTCCTGTCAATCCTCGCTATCTGCTTTCTCCAAATGAATCTCTTTTTTTTTTCCTTCAGAAGAATTCCTTGTCACTGGAGGCCACTGGAAGCTTTTTATATTTAATTTCCCTCATATATTCATGAAAACTTGTGGGTATGTGTGTATATGTATGTAATCCTTCTGTCAGGCCATGCCAGCAGCAGCCAGGGCTGGGTTCAATATCTAGGGGTCCATTTTTATCCATCTCACACAGAACTGGCTCAAGCCCCCACCCAGTAGCCTGGGAAATTCATACACCCCTGGGCGCCTCTGAGGGGCAATGCTTCACCACTCGCAAGCACAGATTCTGAGTGTAGAAAAGAAACTTTTAATGAAAGATGAAGAGAAGTTTCATGGCATTAACTCAGAAAAATACCACAAACATAGTTCCTAACCCCCCCACAAGTAACGGTCCCAGGTCAAATGGATTTAGTCATGCCACCTTTGTGCTGCTCCTGTGGTCTGCTTGCGCCACCTGCCGCTGCTCCTACTGGTAGCCTGCCGGTCGTTCCCACCAGCAGCTTCCCTGGGCCCCCGACTCCGCTTC